GATAACACCTGCTGCAGCCACTGCAAACTAGCCGACAAAAAAATGCTAGCTAGCTAGACCGTAGAAAAACTACTGCTCGCTATTGCGCAGTGTCCTGTTGGCCTTCAAGAAGGCAGAAGTTTCCATAAGTTTTGGAAAGTCAAAATGTGATTAGTTAATTCCACTGTCACTCCAAAATGTTGCCCTACTACAGTTGAATGGCAGATGCCTTTATCTATCTTCTGATGGCCAACCATGGCTGCTGGGTTGGTTTTGGGGGGGGGACTTGGGGAAGGGGGCGGTTAGGGAATTTGGGTTTCTGGTGCGGGAAACCTTTGGGGACCCAGCAATTTTTTTTTTGGGGGGAATCGGGTTTAAGGTTGAGGGGGGGTTTTTTTTTTAAAAATTATGGGGGGGGAAAATGGATTTTAAAGGGAACATTTTTTTCCCCCCCTAAAAAAAAAAAAAAAAGGGGGAGGGGGTTTTTGGGTTTTGGTGGTGAGCGCACATCCTCCTGCCCAGTGTAGTGGGGAAGTGCCAGACAAAAAATTTGGCAGGGGCCCAAATTTTAAATATTCCCCTTACGACGGAACAATTGATGAAGGGAGAGGAAGCCCCTTTTGGGGAATCCCCAAAAACCACATCGTCCACTGCTGCAATCACTGAACCTTTTACGAATACTTCCGCATAAAAAGTCCCTTTCTTTCCACCTTGACTTGTTTTTTTCGGGTTTTCTCTCCCCCAAGCGACCACCGTGCTGCCCAAGGGGTTGGTTTATTTTCCTTTTAAGGTATTATTTTTGAAAACACTGGTTCATCCAGTTGTTCGTGTTTCAATCAGGACTCTGGGAATTTGATGCCCGATGAGGAAAAGGGGGGGCTTTTGAGAACCAAAACGAGCTTCGTTTTTTTGATTTTTCCAAATTAGAAATGGGGAAGCTTTTAGAGCTTTTTTTGGAAAGGCCCTGTTTTTTAAAAGCAGTGTGGGTTCACAGACAGCATGTAAATGGTTTTACTATATTTACAGGCTATATTTTTAAAAATGGTTTTAAAATTTAAACAAAGTTTTGTAAAAAGTGTAATCTAACCCACAATTAAAATGTTTTTTATTTAGGAGGGGAGCATGAACATTCGACTTGATAAATGAGGAAAGTACTACCAGTGTTAAAAATTCAGGGGCACGCAATCCTAAAAGCCTTTTTATTAAGATAAACTTTTTGCAAGGCAAGCAGAAATTTTTTAATTCCACAAAGTAATAAAAAAGTTTTAACCAAATCTCGTAGAGTCTCAAGGTTGGTATTAGAAATTTGTGTTAATACAATATTTTTTTCGTCTGTCTTTTTAAAATTATAAATAAAATAAAATAATTATCTAATTTTAACAATGAAACACTTTGGGGGTTCTTGGGGACACCGTTACTATTTTTATTTTTGGACAAGGGCTATTCCTTTTGTTTGGGGAAGCAATCTGGACAGAAGAAAGGGAGGGGCTGGAAGGAAACAACAAATTATAATAATTATAAATTGTCATTTTTCCTGCTTTTTTTGGCTGTAAAAGAACAAAATTTTAAACAAATTTGAAGTGGACAGGCTTTTAAATTGGCTTGGGATAAAATAATTCATGTAGATGTATTTTTAAAAAAAAATCCCTTTCTGGTCTAAGGGGGCCCTCTCCACCCAGCAAAACCCCCCAAAATTTTGGAAAGGGATTTTAAAACCAGTGGTTTCGAAACGGGGTTGAAAAACGGTGGAGGCGTCCATGGCCGGGCCCAAACTCAAAAGAATTTCTTATAGAACATGAGTCGCTTAGTTGGTCCCTGTCCATTTTAGGGAGAAACCTTGACACTTTCAACTGCCTTTAAAGTTTCATAAAAAAACCCCCTGAATGCTGAGCAAGGTGCTTTCTACATAAAAGGATAGAATTTGGAAAAAAAAAGGAAAGGATCCTTGAACGTTCAGCTTTGGAAAAAAACTGTAAGGAATTGATTTAAAAAAATTCTTTAGGTTTGCTCAGAGGCAAGGGCAAATGAAATAAGGGCCAAAAAACAATAAGCCTGGGTGTTTCTTTGAATAGTTGATTGCTAAAAACCCATTATAAGGTCTTGAAAGAATTAATGTTTTTGCTCTTATACGTTATGTTGTTAATAATTGTAAGTATTTGAGAAACATAAACAATTTGTACATTAGTTAAATTTTAAGTATTCTTCCATCGTTGAGTTCACCATTGATATTCCATTAATTAATTTTTAAAGGAAGACCTTAACTTTTAAAATTTTAGGTTTTGGTACTCCCGGGTTTGAAGATGCTTCTTGCTGTTTACTACCAATTAAAAGTACTTAAAGAAATGAAAGGCTGGGTTTGTGTAAATATTTTAAAAGCCCCCTTTTAAAGGAAATTAAATAATTAAAAAATGTTTCCAAAGAATCTTCTGTTTGTAAAAATATTTTGGTTGGGGAAAATACAAAGCCCCACCGAGAATATTTTTCACCAGCCGCCACTGGTAATTAACTTTTTGTCCTGAATACAAAGTATTTTGTTTGGGGCAAATCCAATACAACACAATACTGAGTACTACTCTCCATATTTTCAAGCATAGTGGTGGCTGCATCAGGTTATGGGTATGCTTGTAATCGTTAAGGACTCTGGAGTTTTTCAAGATAAAAAAGAAACGAAATGGAGCTAAGCACAGGCAAAATCCTAGAGGAAAGCCTGGTTCAGTCTGATTTCCACCAGACACTGGGAGATTAATGCACCTTTCAGAAGGACAATTACCTAAAACAAAAGGCCAAATCTACACTGGAGTTGCTTACCAAGAAGACAGTGAATGTTCCTGAGTTGCCGAGTTACAATTTTGACTTAAATCTGTTTGAAAATCTGTGGCAAGACCTGAAAATGATTGTCTAGCAATGATCAACACCAATTTGACAGAGCTTGAATCATTTTGAAAAGAATAATGGCAAATGGCACAGTCCAATGTTGCACAATTGACATTACAGGGTATTTTGTGTAGATCGTTGACAAAATATAATCCATTTTAATCCCACTTTGTAACACAACAAAATGTGGAACAAGACAAGGGGTGTTAATACTTTCTGAAGGCACTGTATAATGATAGTCCTTAGATGTGAGTGGGGACATGATGGGGTGAGGGGGTGCAGTCTTGTCCAATCTCAGCCATACAATATGGAGCAAGAGAGTCTATCTCCCAGGGTCATTTCTCGCTGCACTGTAAATGTATTAGCATATTTCTCATAAGGGAGTTGGCCTGTGTGTGTGTGTGTCTGTCTGTCTTCGCCTGTGTGTGTGTGTGTGTGTGTGTGTGTGCACATCTGTGTGTGTGCGCGCACATTTGTCTATCTGTATTAGCATATTTCTCATCAGGGAGCTAGTAATTGAGACGTTTTGGGAGGATGTGTGGTCCCTCAGCTTCCCAGGGTGCATTGCAGATGACATGCATCAGGGGGAAACTGAAGCGGGACTTACCCAAGTAGCATGCCAGCACACAGACTATTTCTGCTCCCGCTATTTTTACACAGGGGTCAGAAGGTAATGGTTTTATTTCTGCCGCTGGCTCCTTTTACTGTACACCGAGAGAGAAAGGGAGGGGAGAGAGAACGGGAGGAGAGGGAGAGTATGTGTTTGTATCCCTCTGTCCCTGTGTCTACTGTGGATTTGTCCTAAAGCAGTAACCCGCTTGTCTCCAAAGAGACTTGTGGGATTGAGACAGTCCTTTCTCCATGACTTCTCTACTGTTATTCAAAACTAAATCCAGAGAGCAAAATATCATAGATCTGTGTCAATTAGACAGAGACTACGAACAGAGGGAAAGGGATCTAGGCCTGATATCTATGTGCTAGACAAGAGGAATGAAGAGGCTTACTGTCTGTACACCACACTGTTTCTCTCACACACACACACACACACACACACAGACGTATCCCACTAGGATGAATAAGTGAACAGACGTAGGAGGCAGACAGGGCAGAGACAGCGACCAGCAAGAAAACAATATGTCTTTTGTAACCCACTGTGACAGCGGCGCTACACGCCTTTTCCTCTTTCATAAATCATATCCTTCACATTGTCAAGCAGCGAACAGAGCGAGGGAAGGAGGGAGGAGAAGGAGGGAGGGAGAGAGAGAGACAGCAGGGTTTTAACTGTAGGCTCATCCATCCATCCTCCTCTTCTTCGAAATAGGCATTTTTTCCCCTCCATCAAAAATGTGTTAAAGTTGTTACTCAATATTGGGTCACACTTCCATAATCCTACGCTGGCCACCTTGCCTGTCTCTATAACCTCTGAGACCTTGGTCCCATCCCATCCCAAACCAACCCATAACCACTTCCATACACACTTTCTGGTTCATCCTTACTGATCTGAAATGAATTAAACTGTCAGAATGCTGCCAACATGGAGGGCTAGGTGGAGCAGTGGCTATATTGCTGATACCTTTCTTCTCCTACCTACTGCTTTTAGTTCATCAGGTAGGAGTCAATGAGGGCCTAAAGTTAGGGACATAGGGGTTAGTTTGGGATCGGGCCTTTGCTTCTCCAATGAAGGTACATCTATGTCCCCGAGGAAGGTTGGGACCAAAGTTCCCTCCGTCTCTGTGTCCGTCCAGTAGCATTTACGTGTGACACCTCTGGAGTATCCTTGCTGAATGCCATGGATGACCAGTGTCCTTTGATGAGGGGCTGCAAGGGGACACACAGCAAGAGGACACACAGATAGAGGGCAAACACTAAATATACTCACCCGTGCCCCTAAAGGAGCTTATGGGTATTTTCTAACATTCATAAGGTGATGAAAGCTGCAGTTTACAGACTGCCCTTCTAGCTATAAATACAGTACTATGGATTCTCAATGGAAAGCAGGCACAGGGGGTTGGTGGCACCTTAATTGGGGAGGATGGGCTCATGGTAATGGCTGGAGCAGAATAAGTGGAATGGCATCAAACACATGGTTTCTATGTGTTTGATGCCATTCCATTTGCTCCATTCCAGCCATTATTATGAGCTGTCCTCCCCTCAGCAGCCTCCACTGAAAGCAGGGTATGTTATTTCAGAATGAAAGACCATACTCTCCCACATATCATTCTCATAGTTCTCCCAGAATTAATTATGTTCACTTCAAATGTATGATACCTGCTGTGTGGAGATTAAAGAACATTTTATTTTTTGTCCCTAAGTGTGTCATGCTGACAATGATATCTGTATCAAACACTTGGTTATGTTAATATTCCTTGGCAAACATGATCAAATGCAAAGATTATTCTTTGAGCTGAAATGCATTATTCTCACAGAGCCAGAGATAAATAGCCAACATCATGTTCCATTTATAGTAGACAACAATAATACACTCTGACTGGTGCACAAACGTTCATTAACATGGCTGAGTGGTTCTTGTGGATTTCAACAAGTCTGTGAAATTAAGACATATGATATTTCCAAATGTCCAGATAAACTAAATTTCCTTGGTTCGGTGTGTTTTGAGTGAGATGAAGAGTTGACATGTCCTTACAGCAGTCATTGGTGAACCGGTTTCATCCAGTCAGTGCTAGTGGTGATATTCCCAAACATACTCAAAGAGGAGGAGGAATGTTGGGAAAACTAAAACGATTCCCTCCCATTCTCACTTTCGGATAGTGGTGACGCTACAGGAGCAAGCCTCGACATAGAGGTCTTTCGTTTCCGTGACAATTTCCAATCCCATCTGTGACAAAATAGTCCTAAAAAGTCCCACCGTCCAGTATCATTGTCATGTAGTCCTAAAGGAAAAGAGAGGGGGGGCATGAGGTGCATTCACTCTCCTGCACCTGTGCCCAATCTTTCTCATGTCTCTTACCCTCTTTTTCTCAACCCCCATCTCTCCCCCCATCCAGTCTCACACTTTTTCCTAATCCCCTGATTCTACTGTGAAGTAGGGGTGAGGGGTGGTGTGAAGGGCAGAGGGGTGGACAGTGTACCCCCCACTAGGACAGCCTCTCCATCTCAAACTGGGTGTGTCCATGTCCGTTAGACGTGGTCGCGGTATTGGACCAGGCCTCAGCCGGGTGAGTGATACCCGATTTACGAGCCTCCCCTGGGGGTCCGTGAGTGATGGTTAGAGGTCCAGGGTCGGTTCTTGGGTGGGGGTCGGGCAGGGTGGGCTCGGGGGGCTTGCGGTCATAGTAGAGGGCCCAGAGCAGGGTTAGGGTCAGGGTCATGGCCAGGATCTGGGCCACTCCTATAGACACACCCAGGAAACGCAGCACCTGTAGCTGCTTAGTCCCCCGGATGAAACTGTAGATCTTCGGCCCGCAGCCCTGTAGTACACACACACACACACACACACGCACACACACACGCACACACACACACAGGAGCACAATAAGGGCTTGTCATTTTGAGAACTTAAGCTTTTTCATGTTGAAACATGGCATACGTTTGATCCATGTTATATTAATGTTACATTCATGTAATATTAACGTTGTGTAAATGTTTCAGTCTGTCTGTCTCGCCAGGGGCAGACCAACCATACTGAGTCTGTGAGCTGTACATCTGCTGTAGGAACAAAATGAAAACACTCTCTCATCCTATCACATGGATATGTCACGTTCGTCGATAGATGAAGCGGACCAAGGCGCAGCGTGATAAGCGTACATTTTATTTGCCGTACTGCACACAAAACAAAACAACAAACCAAACGATACGTGAAGTCCTAGGTTACAACACAAACCTTTCGGAACAAGATCCCACAACGTAACATGCCAACAGGCTGCCTAAGTATGGTTCCCAATCAGAGACAACGAGCTACAGCTGTCTCTGATTGGGAACCACCCTGGCCAACATAGAAATACACGATCTAGAACGACAAACCTAGAAAACTAAACAAGGAAAAATCCACACCCTGGCTCAACATTTAAGAGTCCCCAGAGCCAGGGCGTGACAGGATAACATGTACATGGAGAGAAAGAAACAGAGGGAGAGAGAGAGCGAGAAAGAGAGGAAGACGGTTGAGAAGTGTGGAAAGAGAGGGAGTAGGAGTGGAGGTGTAGAAAGGCCAGTCTATTACTTCCTGACTGGGGGATATTCACTCTGTGGTGCTACATACCAGACTGAGCTACTCTACACCTTACTGTTGCCAGAGAGAGAGAGAGAGAGAGAGAGGGAGAGGTGGGAGGAAAGGAAAGTCCTGTGGAGAAAGGGAAGTAAACGTGGGGGAGAGAGTCTGGTATAAAGAAAGAGAGAGAAAACAGACAGGAGATTGAAAGGATCCTCCACTCCTTCACACATTCCCCTTGACTCCCTCCTCTGCTGACTGACTGACTAACTGACTCATCCTCACTACACACACACACACACACACACACACACACACACACACACACACACACACACACACACCCACACACACCATCTCTTTGTCCCTCTGCCTGGTTCTACATAGTGAGGCGTGGCAGTAGCAGCACACACACCCCATTTATAAGAACCCCTCAGAGTTTACATTTAACACAATTAGTAGCCTCTCTCTCGCCCTCCCTCTCTCTCCCCCTTTTCCTGTATCGACTCTCTCTTTACCTCCTCCCCCCTTTCCCTTTCCCCCACCCCCATTTCCCTCTCTTTTCCCACTGTCACAACCTCCCCTCTCTCCAGGTGTGTTTGTCAGGCAGGAACAGCCTGCTCACCCAGCACCTCTCACCCAGGTGACAATGGCAGCCTGGCAGTCTGCACCAGGCACAGCGGGCCTGCTAGAACCCTGCTAGAGCCACACCACTTGGCCTGGACCATGGGGAGAGGAACTGTTGCTATGGCCAGGGGAACTGTTGCTAAGGCTAGGGGATTAACAGTGTTGACTAAACACAGCAGACAGACATGCTGAAGTGGAGATGGTCAGACATGGGATAGGAGACGAGGTTGGTTTGGGGTTAGATCAAGACAGTGATTGAACTGTAGATGGAGAGATCAGGGTGTTTCCCTCTAGGGGATAGAAGACTGAGTGTGTGCGGCCCTACATACCTGTCTGCCTGCCTGCCTGCCTGCCTGCCTGCCTGCCGGCCTGCCTGCCTGCCTACCTACCTGCCTGCCTGTTTGCCTGCCTACCTACCTGTCTGCCTGCCTGCCTGCCTGTTTGCCTGCCTACCTACCTACCTACCTACCTACCTGTCTGCCTGTCTGCCTGCCTGTTTGCCTGTCTGCCTACCTACCTACCTACCTGCCTACCTGCCTGCCTACGTGTTTGTGTGTGAGAGAAAGGAGAGAAATTAAAATAGAGATAGATATAGAGAGAGACTCTAGTGTGAAAGTTTGCTTTTTTATTTTCTTTGTATCCTACTGGCAGGCTAGTTGGCATTGCTTGGCATACCTCGCCCCCTACTAGACTTTGTGTGTGTGTTCCCCTCAGCCCCAGACAGCAGCATACCTTGTCCCCTGGTGGGCTTGATGAGGCGTAATAGCTGCACTCTGTCTCAACAATTTGGCAACCGCAGCAGCCAGAAGGCACACTATGCTATCAAGCCTGTGATTGGCTCTAATTGAGTTGTATGGATTTCTCTCCACAATTGAACACGGCAGGTCATTTCAGGCAGCAAATAGTCCTACCATTGGAAACAGGTTGTTGTGAATGTATTAAATGGAAAACTCCAACTCCAAGAAAATCATCTCCACTCCATTCAGAATGTCAGTAGCCTATTTCAAAAAGTTTATTGTTATTGTTTCTGTCTCTTCAGTAGGTGAATGGGAATCCGTAAGCCTGTGTGTCCCTTTCTGATGACGTCACAGGGGCTACAGAGAGCCGTAATGATCCTAACACTTTTCAGGGTAGGGTCAGAGGGTCAGTAGGTGAACAGGTCACCAGAGGTCAAGCCACCACCTAACACTTACTATGAGGTCACTGGGGCACTCCTGGGGGCACTCACCTCTTGGTGAAGGTCACTGAGGTCACGGTAGTGGGCGTGGCGAGCACATCCTGGATACTGATTGGCGCAGCAGGAGTCTGGTGGCCACTCCATCTCTGTCATCTCCAGCCAATCAGTGAAGTAGATGACCCCACAGCACTTAAACTGGGGAACACACAGTCAAAGAAAGTGTCCATACATTAATAACCCTTTATAACTAGCAGTCTTGCATATTCAACGCACTAAATCACACTCATAACCTCTCACATTTAAATGTTCCTCTTGGGTTATGATATAAAACCATTACATGTATTTGTGTAGGATGTGTGTGACCTCTGGGATGGTGACCTCTCACCTCAGTCTGGAAGGTGTTCCAGGTGTGTGTTAGCCACTGGTAATGCTGCAGGCCATAGTTGGGCATCCTGGACTTCAGACTGATCATATCTGACCTCTGAACTGAGGGCTTGGACAGAACACAACAGTGTAACTCCATTAGAGCTGTCCCCAACTAAATACAATCTTGGTCGACCGAGAGTCGTCTGTTCTTTCAACCAATCGATTGGTTGACATTTTCAAACGTGTATTTTTCCATATATAGACACATCCTATGTGTTTTCATCAAATCAACCATATGCAGTGAGCTTGTCTGATGCTTTAAGCACAATGTTTGATGAAATAATTAAGCCACACAAATGACTAGAGGGAGTCCAACCGCAAGTGATTGGATTGTGCCAGGCCAGACTCAGACTTGCTGCGCTGTGTTAAAAAAAAAAGACAGTGAGTGACTGTGACTAGCACCCGTTGACTCTCTCTCCTCCCTGCTTCAGCGACCACCACATAACATCAACAGTGTTTATCGCGCTGTCCGTGTTGCTGAAGCTGCAACATAATTACAGCCATTTCTGACTGAAAAGTTCTGTTATCGAAATCCCTAATGTGTTTAGGAAAAACATTCCCTATTCCCTCAACCCTTGCTCTCTTTATGTGACACATGTACAGTGAGGGAAAAAAGTATTTGATCCCCTGCTGATTTTGTACGTTTGGCCACTGACAAAGACATGATCAGTCTATAATTGTAATGGTAGGTTTATTTGAACAGTGAGAGACAGAATAACAACAACAAAATCCAGAAAAAACGTATGTCGACAATGTTATAAATTGATTTGCATTTTAATGAGGGAAATAAGTATTTGACCCCTCAGCAAAACATGACTTGTTACTTGGTGGCAAAACCCTTGTTGGCAATCACAGAGGTCAGACGTTTCTTGTAGTTGGCCACCAGGTTTGCACACATCTCAAGAGGGATTTTGTTCCACTTCTCTTTGCAGATCTTCTCCAAGTCATTAAGGTTTCGAGGCTGACATTTGCCAACTCGAACCTTCAGCTCCCTCCACAGATTTTCTATGGAATTAAGTTCTGGAGACTTGCTAGGCCACTCCAGGACCTTAATGTGCTTCTTCTTGAGCCACTCCTTTGTTGCCTTGGCCATGTGTTTTGGGTCATTGTCATGCTGGAATACCCATCCACGACCCATTTTCAATGCCCTGGCTGAGGGAAGGAGGTTCTCACCCAAGATTTGACGGTACATGGCCCCGTCCATCGTCCCTTTGATCCCTCAGCAGAAAAACACCCCCAAAGCATAATGTTTCCACCTCCATGTTTGACGGTGGGGATGGTGTTCTTGGGGTCATAGGCAGCATTCCTCCTCCTCCAAACACGGCGAGTTGCGTTGTTGCCAAAGAGCTCGATTTTGGTCTCATCTGACCACAACACTTTCACCCAGTTCTCCTCTGAATCATTCAGATGTTCATTGGCAAACTTCAAACGGGCCTGTATATGTGCTTTCTTGAGCAGGGGGACCTTGCGGGGGCTGCAGGATTTCAGTACTTCACGGCGTAGTGTGTTACCAATTGTTTTCTTGGTGACTACGGTCCCAGCTGCCTTGAGATCATTGACAAGATCCTCCCGTATAGTTCTGGGCTGATTCCTCACCGTTTTTATGATCATTGCAACTCCACGAGGTGAGATCTTGCATGGAGCCCCAGGCCGAGGGAGCTTGACAGTTATTTTGTGTTTCTTCCATTTGCGAATAATCGCACCAACTGTTGTCACCTTCTCACCAAGCTGCTTGGCGATGGTCTTGTAGCCCATTCGAGCCTTGTGTAGGTCTACAATCTTGTCCCTGACATCCTTGGATAGCTCTTTGGTCTTGGCCATGGTGGAGAGTTTGGAATCTGATTGATTGATTGCTTCTGTGGACAGGTGTCTTTTATACAGGTAACAAGCTGAGATTAGGAGCACTCCCTTTAAGAGTGTGCTCCTAATCTCAGATCGTTACCTGTATAAAAGACACCTGGGAGACAGAAATCTTTCTGATTGAGAGGGCGTCAAATACTTTTTTCCCTCATTAAAATGCATATCAATTTATAACATTTTTGACATGCGTTTTTCTGGATTTTTGTTGTTGTTATTCTGTCGCTCACTGTTCAAATAATCCTACCATTAAAATTATAGACTGATCATTTCTTTGTCAGTGGGCAAACGTACAAAATCAGCAGGGGATGAAATACTTTTTTCCCTCACTGTATGCATCGCATGACCTATAGCATATCATAATCACATCCACAAATTGGTTATAACAAACTCAGAACCCCGTAACAGCAAAATGGATGCAGAGGACGTGACAAATAAACTCGAAGCAGGGGAATGTTTACTGGTTGCTCAGGAGGTAAAGGGGAAGTCAGATGTGTGGAATAAATTGGACTAGTTGTGGAAAATACTGGAGATCAAGAAAAATAAGGTAAGGAGCAAGCGCTGTGAGCATATTACGTGTGCCAAACAGGAGCTGTTAGATTACAATATAATTTCTCTGACCGTTTGGAACAATGTAAACAACACTAAATAAATGATAAGCATACCAGAGTCTGTTGTAATGTTTTTTTTGTTTTTTTTGTTTTTGCATTTATTACAGCAAAGACTAAAACCAGTCACATTAATTTGTGAATGCAATTTCCAAAATGGAGCAGTTTATTTATTGTTTACGCAAATTATTCAAGGGTCACTTTGTTATTTGATTTTAAAATTAAAATGCTTGATTGCATTTCAAATCATGAATGACTCATATGCTGTGTGATGACATGAATGAATGAATGATTGATGTATACAGTACTATAGCTTTCAATACTTACTATAGTACTATAGTAAGTATTGAAATATAGGCCTAAGTAAGTTACGGTATTAAGACTAAACAGGATGCGCTCTTAGGCCTACAGCTCGATGGTGGTTATATAAGGTTCCTATACTAAGCCTACTAATGATAATGACATTACTTATTATTATAATAATGATCATAATAATACTAATAGTAATAATAACAATAAAAAGGAGATCGAGAAAAAGGAGGGTTATCATTATTATTATAAATAAATAACAATCGGACAATTTGAAACAGTGTAAACAACACTAAATAAATTATAAGTAATACCAGAGAGGCTGATCTAACGGAAAAATGTATAAAGCTTTTATTACATCATAGCAAAGATTAAAAACAGCCGAATTTGTGAAATTGTTTATCCGACATGTTGTGGTTGGTGCTCACGGAGGCTTGGTGCTCACAGAATTAGTAGGCTATTACACAAACACTCAAACAGGCAAGAGAAGCAGGATCTGTCTTATTTCTGTAGATATATTTGGATGATTTATAAAGCCTATTATAACGGCTATTGATTATAGACCTAATTAAGTTGGGGTTTCCTCTCTCCTCACTTTTCTTAGACAATTAAGGCAATGGCTGTTTTCTCATCTCCTAACTCCGCTGCTGCCTTCACAGCATTGTTCTCAACACCAATATGCTGGTTAACTTTGCTACTATGCACATAGCGACATGGTCTAGGATAAGGCACCAATTCAACAGCGCACTGATGTGTTTCAGAACCGGGAACAGCGACCGCTATCCAACGCGGGAGAAAGCGCATCTGTTATAAAATAATATAATTTTTATTTGTGTTGCACCATTGTTCCTACGTAATATAACCATATACAATTTCAGTAGCACGTCTTAGAGTGATGGACTGTGCCATCCCCATGGCCTCCACAATGGATCAGTCCACTCAGACAGGCGCGAATCAGACAGGTGTCTTGTACACCATTATATTTTATTTTATTTTTGCTACTGCTCGTCTAAAGAAATCTCGGTCGACCAACAGCCTATTGACCAAACCATCGACCAGTCGACTAAATGGGGTCAGCCCTAAACTCCATTTCATTCAGTATAGCTACATTAACATTTCATGTACAGCTCATGTATTATTGTCACAAGGCACTCAACAGAAAGCCCTGAAACCATATTGGAGCAACAGTCACAGTGGTGTATATTTAGCTACCAGCTCTCTATTTCAAGCCTAGTTATATAGTCCAATCCTCTGACCATGCCCCAAATATTTTCAAACACACAACTTCTGACTCTCTCCTCTAGTGTTTCCCAGGCCTCCAACACTCCGGTCTGTAGTTGCTGAGGTTGACAACGGCTTGTTGTCTAAACAATTACCCCTGTCTGGGCTCTGGGGAACCAGACCAGAGCTGTTCAGCAGACCCACAGTCTGACACACTTAGCATGCATAACTCATCCCCCTCTCCTCTCCTCTCCTCTCCAATAAAACCTCCCCCTAACTCACCCCTGGGCCTCCCTCCCCTCCTCCTTCCTCTCTCCTTCACTCTTTATCCCTCTCTCCTCTGGTATTGTAATGAGATTGTGATAAGCATAATCCGACCCAGGTTACCCGGAATTTCCCTGGGTCCAGGTGCATCACCTTGGTGCTGCCTTAGCATGATTCTGATAAAGGACAAGGCACAAAGACTACAATACCCACAACCCCCTGCGGCAGGGCAGGTATGATTAGGAGGGAGGCGGGTGGCACTGTGGACTCAAAGGCCAGGTGCTAGTGCTACACACACACATCCTCAGGCTTGTAGTCAAGTACCAAACACACACACACCTTTCTCAGTTTGCCATACACACTGCTCTAGCCAGTGACCAGGTGCTCCGCGCACACAAACACACACACCTGCGCGTTCAGAGCGAATCCCACCTGCTGTGAGGGGACATCAAAGCCACTGTGGGCTCTTTCATGGTGGAGAGAAAAGCCCCTGGCCCAGGGGAAGGGAGGCCCTGTAGGGGAGAGCCCATTGTAATAGAGAGCCCGGCCCATTGTATTCAAACATCCACACCCCACGCAGAGGGAAGAGAGGATGCAGGAGGAGGAGGGGAATGGGGGAGGGAGGGGAATGGAGGACACAATTATACCCTATCTCAGGGGTATTCAACTCTTACCCTATGAGGTCTGGAGCCTGCTGGTTTTCTGTTCTACCTGATAATTAATTATACCCACCTGGTGTCCAAGGTCTAAATCATTCCCTGATTAGAGGGGAACAATGAAAAAATGCAGTGGAACTGGCTTTGAGGGCCATATATAGGTCTGTTTTATACCTGGTTTCACCCAAAGACACTTTAGGGACATTGTGGAATTTATGGAGACATTTCTTTCAGTTGGATTTTTCGATTGTTCATATATAGCACCAGTCCCATTTCCCTGTGCTCTTTGACCTGTGCCCTGCACTGGCCATGTTGCTTATTGGGCAGCCCCAGTAAGCAAAGAAAGAGGCGAGCTCTCTGAGTAGAGCCGGACATGACTGGCATTCATGTTTATTCATAGCACAGCACAAAATATAGACAGGCCTATAAGGACAGCCACTACACACAGAGCTGCTGCATAGAGCTAAAGCAGAGAAATATAGCATATAGAAAAGTAGTGCAGCACTCACCTCGTCATACGTCCACACCCCACTGGCCAACTCCACACAGAAGATCACCAACAGACTGCCAAAGTACTAGAGAGAGAGAGAGAGAGAGAGAGAGAGAGAGAGAGAGAGAGAGAGAGAGAGAGAGAGAGAGAGAGAGGAGATGAGAGGAGTAGAGTGCGAGAGAGGAGAGAGGAGAGAGGGGAGAGAGAGAGAGAGAGAGAGAGAGAGAGGGCTAGTCAGAGATGTACTGTGTAGTGTCTTGTCTGAGTGATTGATCGTCATGGTGGATGGTGGGAGAAAGACACAATGAGTAGTGATGTCATGTTCTTCAATCTCCAGACGCCTGTTCCACTCATGTCACATACACGCACATACACACTGACACACATTACACACGCACACCTATTTCCACACACACACACACCTATTTCCACAATTTCACATAAAAACAACAAAATACTTTCATGTAAACACACACAAACACACCCTCACACACACCAGACAAACACACACAAAGGTGTTATGAAGAGTAATGTGTGTGTCAGCCATTCTATTAGGGCCATGTCAGTGGTACAGGGTATGTCTGACAGCCTGTTTGTTTGGAGAGTGTAAATATTATTGGCAGACAGATGGCTCTGCCTCGCCTTTGTTAGTGCTACACTCCATTTAGAAAAGGCCAGTCCAAAACAACATAGACACACACACACACACACACACACATTCACACCTCTCACCCAGAAACTGATCTCACCATACAAAAACATCTCCCCTGTCTTCTTCTCTCATTGCAACTATCTATCAAGAAGGTAAGAGCGTGACCTTTTCACCCTTCGAACCCCCCTCTAACACACTCCTTCACACACATACCAAAACATACACAAACAGTACTTCAATACTTCACTGTTCTACAAGGACGAATTCCAGGTGTGAAGTGACTATGAACCTTCCCTTGACCCCTTCTAGCTTTAGTGTACAAAACATTAACATGCTCTTTCCATGACATAGACTGACCAGGTGAATCCAGGTGAAAGCTATGATCCCTTATTGATGTCACTTGTTAAATCCACTTCAATCAGTGTAGATGAAGGGGAGGAGATAGATTAAAGAAGGATTTTTAAGTTTGAGACAATTGAGATATGGATTGTGTATGTGTGCCATTCAGAGGGTGAATGGGCAAGACAAAATATTTAAGTGGCTTTGAACGGCGTATGGTAGTAGGTGCCAAGCGCACCGGTTTGAGTATGTCAAGAACTGCAACGCTGTTGGGTTTTTCACACTCAACAGTTTCCCGTGTGTATCAAGAATGGTCCACCACTCAAAGGACATCCAGCCAACTTGACACAACTGTGGGAAGCATTGGAGTCAACTTGGGCCAGGAGCCCTGTGGAAAGCTTTCAACACCTTGTAGAGTCCATGCCCCGACGAATTGAGGGCAAAGGGGGTGCAACTCAATATTCGGAATGTGTTCTTAATGTTTTGTGCACTCAGTGTATTACCTTTCTCACAGAGACATTTCGTTATGTTTCACACATTTCATTTCAGGGGGGAAGCTCTCTCTCACACACACACACACACACACACACACTGAGGTTAGAGGAGGGTTGCAGTTGTTTGAATGGAATGTCAAAGCTTCCAAGAATGGATTTCCTCCTGTGTGGAGAGACTTACAGCATGTTTCCCTTCCCTCACTGATACTCAATTAACACGTACACAAGGGCGAGAGAGGGAAGAGGGGGAAAGAGAGGGAAGGAAGGAAGACAGGTGGAGGAACGACAGAGCGAGAGGGCGATAGGGGGAGAGGTATAAGTTTAGGCTAAGGGGGATTTAATTGGCGTCTTTAAGGAGGGCCTATTTTTAAGCGACCTTTCTAAGCGTCCAGTGGAACAGCATCTCAGAGCAACTTAAGACCCTGCAGTCGTCCCTAACATAACCCCACTATCCCACAACACACCACTGCATGCATGTAAACATCTACAAACATCCCAACAGCCCCTCAGAGACCCTAAATGGACACTTTGACGCTTCTCACTAGCTTAGTCCACAACAGAAACACATTACTATCTATTACATATAAAGGGCTTAACTGAGCTTAAAGCCAGGCACCATCAATTGCCCACCACAGCCATGATTGAAGGGGGGGGGGTTATTCAGGTAAGTGGGCAGAGTTGGGGCGGTGGGGGGGCGTTCCTCTGAAAGGGATGCCCCCAGCTGGTGAATGGTTGCGTGGGTAACACAAGCGCCACTCACCCCTCTCAGCCACCTCTCCATAAGCGGGCGGAGACGGGTGGGATAGCATTACCCATTGTCCCTCTCAACCGAGATAATATTGTCTCCGTAGTGCACCAGCGAAACACAAGAATGCCAGGTTGGAGTTGCAAGGAGAGAGGGATGAATGAAGTCCCAATGGAGGGGTGGAGGAAGCGTGAGGGAGACCCAGAATACAGGCACTTTGGTTAGGGACAGACAGACAGAGGAACCCCCTCCCTCTCCGTCTCCCCACACAGCACACCTGGGAGATAGAGCCACAATACAGGCGCCACACCTTCCCTCTCCAATGTTCTGCCCTTCCACTCTATAGGAATATGAGTAGGTTAATCATGTACCCTGTCCTGTTATAGTTTTAGTATGCATGACACAATTGGTCAATGGAAATAGTGCATTGTGCTGCCACGATTGCTTCTGTACGGGAAAATACGTGTTATGTATGCAACACATGTATAGTAAAGTAATGCTCCGTAGCAAATGCTCTGTAAGCACAGAGATGATACATTGTTTAGTCATCTGCATGCATGGTTGAATGGAAATTGCTTTTTTGGGGCGCTGTCTCTCTCTCTCCCTTTTCTGTACCTCAGTCGGTTTCTAATGCTGTCTCCCTCTCCTTCACCTGTTCTGACTCAATCCGCCTCTTTGCCTATTCTTTTACATCCCTGTTTCTCTTTCATTCTCTCTTTTTGTTGTCCCGCACTGACAGTGGTGAGTGATTGAGATAATCACACCCTTATCTGTCCATCTCGCTCCCTCTTTCTCTCTCTCTCTCTCCCCCTCTTTCTCTCTGGCCATCCATCAGTGCCCAGGGTACCATTACTCTGGCAGGCTCAGACAGCAGCAGCGGTGAATAGTTATACAGTGGTACTTATCCACGGGAGCACCATTCCGCTACACACCAGCAACAGCCCCGCACCAGGCGCTAGCTCGCTCAGAACACAGTCCCGCGCGAGGGGGGCGTTCGCTAACACAAGACCACGATGGTCATTCATCATCCCATAAGCGTGTGGCGCTGCATCGGATGAGTAACGGCTGTAAAATCGAGGGGGGAATTCTCAGTGCATTTCCCTCCGGTGTATGAACGGTGGAACTACGCAACTGTGTGGCTGTTGGGTGAATTTACAGGCCTGTTCCAGGGTTTATGAGGGTACAATAATATGACTTTATTGAGATGCTGAGGACATCAGGCTGTTACAGATGATGGGGACAATAGCACATGGAGATAGATAGGGAGGGCTGACTGTGTGTGTGTGTGTGTGTGCGTGTGTGTGTGTGTGTGTGTGTGTGTGTGTGCATGCGTGCGTGCGTGCGTGCATGTATTTCAAGGTTGTATAAATGTGTAACTAACACCGATAGCTAAAGAAAACCAGACCGAGATCTACAGCAATTACAACCCGCTTCTCCAACTAAACCGAGCTCATCACAGTTTCCACACACACACATACACACACACACACGCAAACACACGTTCATTTCATTCAGACACATACCCAGGACAGGAGTAGAAGGTTGCATTTCAGTGTGCCGCAGTAGCCCACCATGGCAACGATGATAAGAAAACAACACACTGCAATGATGACGGGATGGACAGCCGGGGAATACGTGAGAACTGCTGCTTCCTCCAGCCTACAGAGAGGGGGGGGGGGGGGGGGGGGGAGAGAGAGAGAGAGAGAGAGAGAGAGAGAGGAGAGAGAGAGAGAGAGAGAGAGTACACTCTGTAGGAGAGTACACTCTGTAGTGATTACACTCTGTAGGAATGTGGATCTCCTCCACCGCAGCAGTTACTGTCAGGGGCCAGTGGGGGTGAGATGGTGATCTGTGGACAGGCCTAGGTGATAAGAAACAGTTGAATTAAAAAGTTATGAGGTTGATGATTTGCGGAAAGGTTGCCAGTTATGAGTAGGGGTGATTTATTGAGGAAGTGAGATATAAATCCAACAGCTTTCTTTATCAGTCTCCTTCTTCCTCTATTCTCCTTCTCTTGTTTATATACTAATTATCTTCCTCTCACGCTTTCTCCCTGTCATCCCCCTCCTGTCCCTCCCAGTACCTGCCCACTGCCCACTGAGAGGTGTCAACATTGAGATCCATATCACTCACCTGGTGTGGGCCGTCAAGGTGAGCACAGTGTTCAGGTAGTCCCTGAGCCAAGCAGCCACCCCCAGGACACATATCGACATGAGCTGAGGGAGCAGAACATACACACACACACACACATAGAGAGAGATAGAACACACAGACACACACATTACACACAGACACACACATAACATTACAGTTTTACCAAGTAGAGTAAACACTTCCACTCAAAATATGTTTTGTCTGAAAATGCTTATGGCAGTGAAATATCATCCAGGGACTTGGTATGGCAACAAAATGTGGCCTAAGGGGCACCAACCCTGGAGCACTTATCAAATTTAATGGGCTATAAATAGCATGCACTAGAATGTCAAACATGCAGTTTGTGCATACAGTGAGGGAAAAAAGTATTTGATCCCCTGCTGATATTATACGTTTGCCCACTGACAAAGAAATTATCAGTCTATAATTTTAATGGTAGGTTTATTTGAACAGTGAGAGACAGAATAACAACAACAAAAATCCAGAAAAACGCATGTCAAAAATGTTATAAATTGATTTGCATTTTAATGAGGGAAATAAGTATTTGACCCCCTCTCAATCAGAAATATTTCTGGCTCCCAGGTGTCTTTTATACAGGTAACGAACTGAGATTAGGAGCACACTCTTAAAGGGAGTGCTCCTAATCTCAGCTTGTTACCTGTATAAAAGACACCTGTCCACAGAAGCAATCAATCAGATTCCTAACTCTCCACCATGGCCAAGACCAAAGAGCTCTCCAAGGATGTCAGGGACAAGATTGTAGACCTACACAAGGCTGGAATGGGCTACAAGACCATCGCCAAGCAGCTTGGTGAGAAGGTGACAACAGTTGGTGCGATTATTCGCAAATGGAAGAAACACAAAAGAACTGTCAATCTCCCTCGGCCTGGGGCTCCATGCAAGATCTCACCTCGTGGAGTTGCAATGATCATGAAAACGGTGAGGAATCAGCCCAGAACTATACGGGAGGATCTTGTCAATGATCTCAAGGCAGCTGGGACCATATTCACCAAGAAAACAATTGGTAACACACTACGCCGTGAAGGACTGAAATCCTGCAGCGCCCGCAAGGTCCCCCTGCTCAAGAAAGCACATATACAGGCCCGTTTGAAGTTTACCAATGAACATCTGAATGATTCAGAGGAGAACTGGGTGAAAGTGTTGTGGTCAGATGAGACCAAAATCGAGCTCTTTGGCATCAACTCAACTCGCCGTGTTTGGAGGAGGAGGAATGCTGCCTATGACCCCAAGAACAGCATCCCCACTGTCAAACATGGAGGTGGAAACATTATGCTTTGGGGGTGTTTTTCTGCTAAGGGGACAGGACAACTTCACCGCATCAAAGGGACAATGGACGGGGCCATGTACCGTCAAATCTTGGGTGAGAACCTCCTTCCCTCAGCCAGGGCTTTGAAAATGGGTCGTGGATGGGTATTCCAGCATGACAATGACCCAAAACACACAGGCAAGGCAACAAAGGAGTGGCTCAACAAGAAGCACATTAAGGTCCTGGAGTGGCCTAGCCAGTCTCCAGACCTTAATCCCATAGAAAATCTGTGGAGGGAGCTGAAGGTTCGAGTTGCCAAACGTCAGCCTCGAAACCTTAATGACTTGGAGAAGATCTGCAAAGAGGAGTGGGACAAAATCCCTCCTGAGATGTGTGCAAACCTGGTGGCCAACTACAAGAAACGTCTGACCTCTGTGATTGCCAACAAGGGTTTTGCCACCAAGTACTTAGTCATGTTTTGCAGAGGGGTCAAATACTTATTTCCCTCATTAAAATGCAAATCAATTTATAACATTTTTGACATGCATTTTTCTGGATTTTTTTGTTGTTATTCTGTCTCTCACTGTTCAAATAAATCTACCATTAAAATTATAGACTGACCTTGTCTTTGTCAGTGGGCAAACGTACAAAATCAGCAGGGGATCAAATACTTTTTTCCCTCACTGTACTTTGGATGCAATTTGCACATTTGTTTTTCTATAAGAAAATGTATGGTGCAGGCCTATTTATAAAGTAACCGCCATTATGATCAATATCAGTAACCCTGGCGCGGGCACTGTGGCTTGGAGGCACGCGTTGGGGTGGATGGATGGTAGGGGGGAAGGGGGGGACTATAAAGTTGGCTGCATTGTGTAGCGTGAGCGCGGGCCCTACCCGGCCACCTGCTCGGGGGTCTCTCGCTTCTCTTACCCAGAAGAGTAAATTGAGAGCGTAGAGCAGGCAGCGCAGGCACCTCACCGCGTCCTCGCGAGCCATTCTGAGCGCAACAGCAACTGGTGGCCAAGACAGGACTCCTCATCTTAACCCGCGCCACCATGGCAACATAATTAACTAAAAGGAATACAAATCCATTAAATTAGGACTATTAGCCTGTCCCATGAATACAAAACGAGTTCTGCGCGCGCCTTTCCAATGTCTTGTTTTAGCAGCCGCGGTATATCCGTGGGAAGTTCCAGACAGCATTCACAACAGGTGGTTTCTTACTTTCCCCAGTCCAGGAATGATGGAGTGTGCGGATGAGCGCTCAGCGGACCTGACATATCCAAATCAATCATCACTCACTTAGCAAGGTATACTGCCAAAACATATCCAGGACATTACAGCAAAACAACTTCTTATAAGGGCTTTTGCGCAAAATGAACATAATCCATTTGGTTAAAATATTAATGTTCAGCACTCCTTTTACTCCCCAGAGCAAACGTCAAACACAAAAATTCATACTATTGCACAGCAGCCTAAATCAAAACCCATAAAATAAAACTTCAGTTGCGCACGTAGACAGTGATTCCCAAAATCGATCTCTCCACAAAAACAATCCCCGGTGGCGGTATGATAGGCCTAGCCTACCTATCGTCCAATTCAGAGTGCCGAGTTGGTTCTGCGCTGTCAGTTCAACTTTTCCATGTTTGAGTGGCCAAAAATCAACTCGCAGTTTGTTCTGTGTCATCCAGAGAGGGTTGTCCGCGGGGTCCTAGCGCTTCGCCCAATTGCAAAGCAGCAGCAGCAGCAGCAACAGCAGGGCTATGGGTCTTTACCGGGGGATGGAATGTGGACAGCTTTCCGCCTCCGAGAGATAGCATGCATAGGTCAAGAGGTCACATCTAGAGAGAGTATTATTGTCTGGGGTAAATGTGGGATGGGACTTCATCATGGGACTTCTTCACTGGAGAGAGCAATACTAATGCTGTAATAAGTGTCACCACTCTATCAAAGATGTGCATGGATATTCTATTCTATTCTGTTCTGTTCTATTCCCTGTGGGATGACGGTACATAGGTGTATCACATATTCTTCTTGATACATATTCTTGATGATTTGTTGTATCTATCCATCATCTACTGAACAATATCGGTGACATGTGGTCCATTAACTGTGAAGTGGGAGCATTCAGAAGATGAAGTCACAACAAAGGTGTCAGTCCTTCAGTTATGAAACACTGAGCATATCTCAGCCATATAAAGCTTCCATTAGATAATCAGATTATTGGTTTGTCTACCTCTATCCCTGTCGATTCTAAGCTCATTCTAAGAAAAAACATGAATTAAAAAGGGGAAGCAATGAGTTACCCCATCGGCTACATAATCAATCATTTAAAAGAGAAACAATAGGCTGGGGTCGGCAGGGATTGTTATGTTCATTTATTGTCTTTCGGTCTGTTTTTAATGTCCACAGTCTGGCTATGAACCAAATGGGGTTGGTCAGCTTTAAAAGCTTTATTGTTAGAGATGCACACAACAAAATAAACTCCCATTAATTAAATTGATAATATATCTTGTGTTCCCTGATAACAATAATGTTGACTCAATAGATTAAAGGAAATTACATCACAGCATAGACTTGCCTGGGTGGTCTTCAGTGTGCCAATCCAATGGAGGCAAGGAGATATGAGAGGATTGGTGGGAAGGAGGATGGGTTGAGATGGAAATGGTGAATGGGGGGGTTGGGAGAATTGAGAGAGGGGTGAGACAGTGTTTGGTGCATGGGATGGATGGGTTAGGGCTTGAGAGAGATCATGAGGAGAATAGCATAGAATAGAGTTTATTATTGAGAGGATACATCAAATGCGAGAGACTGGAGAAGGGGGTGAGACAGTGAATGAGAGTGAATGAAGGTGCACAAAAGAGTGGTGAATGACATAGTAACCTACAGATTATCATTGTTTTGGATGAATAGACAAAACAAAATGCACATGAATCCATCCTATAGACCTACAGTGCCTTCAGAAAGTATTCACACCTCTTGACCTTTTCCACATGTTGTTGTGTTACAGTCTGAATGAAAAAATGATTAAATAGAGATTTTTTGTCACTGGCCTACACACAATACCCCATACTGTCAAAGTGGAATTCTGTTTTTCAATATTTAAAAAAAAACAAATTCATACAAAATAAAAATATGAAATGGCTTGAGTCAATAAGTATTCAAACCCTTTGTTATTTAGGCAAACCTAAATAAGTTCAGGAGTAAAAATGTACGTAAAGTCATATAATAAATAGCACAGACTCACTCTGTGTGCAATAATAGTGTTTAACATGATTTTTGAATGACTACATCATATTTGTACCCCACACATACAATTATCTGTAAGGTCCCTCAGTCAAGCAGTGAATTTCAAACACAGATTCAACCACAAAGACAAGGGAGGTTTTCCAATGCCATGCAAAGAAGGACACCTATTGGTAGATGGGTATAAATAAATAAAAAGCAGACATTGAATATCCCTTTGAGCATGGTAAAATTATTAATTACACTTTGGGTGGTGTATTAATACATCCAGTCACTACAAAGATACACTAACCAGAAAGACTCACAGCTGTAATCGCTGCCAAAGGTGATTCTAATATGTACAGTGGCTTGCGAAAATATTCACCCCCCTTGGCATTTTTCCTATTTTGTTGCCTTACAACCTGGAATTAAAATGTATTTTGGGGGGGTTTGTATAATTTCATTTACACAACATGCCTACCACTTTGAAGATGCAAAATATTATTGTGAAATAAACAAGAAATAAGACCAAAAAAAAAAAATAACTTGAGCGTGCATAATTATTCACCCCCCCCATTGGGATTTTTGCCCATTCTTCAAGGCAAAACTGCTCCAGCTCTTTCAAGTTGGATGGGTTCCGCTGGTGTACAGCAATCTTTAAGTCATACCACAGATTCTCAATTGGATTGAGGTATGGGCTTAAACTAGGCCATTCCAAGACATTTAAATGTTTCCCCTTAAACCACTCGAGTGTTGTTTTAGCAGTATGCTCAGGGTCATTGTCCTACTGGAAGGTGAACCTCCGTCCCAGTCTCAAATCTCTGGAAGACTGAAACAGGTTTCCCTCAAGGATTTCCCTGTATTTAGCGCCATCCATCATTCCTTCAATTCTGACCCGTTTCCCAGTCCCTGCCGATGAAAAACATCCCCACAGCATGATGCTGCCACCACCATGCTTCACTGTGGGGATGGTGTTCTCGGGGTGATGAGAGGTGTTGGGTTTGCGCCAGACATAGCATTTTCCTTGATGGCCAAAAAGATCAATTTTAGTCTCATCTGACCAGAGTACCTTATTCCATATGTTTGGGGAGTCGCCCACGTGCCTTTTGGCAAAACACCAAACGTGTTTGCTTATTTTTTTCTTTAAGCAACTGATTTTTTCTGGCCACTCTTCCGTAAAGCCCAGCTCTGTGGAGTGTATGGCTTAAAGTGGTCCTATGGACAGATACTCCAATCTCCGCTGTGGAGCTTTGCAGCTCCTTCAGGGTTATATTTGTTGCATCTCTGATTAATGCCCTCCTTGCCTGGTCCATGTGTTTTGGTGGGCGGCCCTCTCTTGGCAGGTTTGTTGTGGTGCCATATTATTTCAATATTTTTATAATGGATTTAATAGTGCTCCGTGGGATGTTCAAAGTTTTGGATATTTTTTTATAACCCAACACTGATCTGTACTTTTACATTTACATTTACATTTACGTCATTTAGCAGACGCTCTTATCCAGAGCGACTTACAAATAGGTGCATTCACCCTATAGCCAGTGGAATAACCACTTTACAATATCTTTTTTTTTTTTCTTCTTTTTTTTTTTGGGGGGGGGGGGGGGGGGGGGGGTAGAAGGATTACTTTATCCTATCCCAGGTATTCCTTAAAGAGGTGGGGTTTCAAATGTCTCCGGAAGGTGGTGAGTGACTCCGCTGTCCTGGCGTCGTGAGGGAGCTTGTTCCACCATTGGGGTGCCAGAGCAGCGAACAGTTTTGACTGGGCTGAGCGGGAACTATGCTTCCGCAGAGGAAGGGGAGCCAGCAGGCCAGAGGTGGATGAACGCAATGCCCTCGTTTGGATGTAGGGACTGATCAGAGCCTGAAGGTACAGAGGTGCCGATCCCCTCACAGCTCCATAGGCAAGCACCATGGTCTTGTAACAGATGCGAGCTTCAACTGGAAGCCAGTGGAGTGTGCGGAGGAGCGGGGTGACATGAGAGAACTTGAGAAGGTTGAACACCAGACGGGCTGCGGCATTCTGGATGAGTTGTAGGGGTTTAATGGCACAGGCAGGGAGCCCAGCCAACAGCGAGTTGCAGTAATCCAGACGGGAGATGACAAGTGCCTGGATTAGGACCTGTGCCGCTTCCTGTGTAAGGCAGGGTCGTACTCTCCGAATGTTGTAGAGCATGAACCTGCAGGATCGGGTCACCGCCTTGATGTTAGCGGAGAACGACAGGGTGTTGTCCAGGGTCACGCCAAGGCTCTTCGCACTCTGGGAGGAGGACACAGTGGAGTTGTCAACCGTGATGGCGAGATCATGGAACGGGCAGTCCTTCCCCGGGAGGAAGAGCAGCTCCGTCTTGCCAAGGTTCAGCTTGAGGTGGTGATCCGTCATCCATACTGATATGTCTGCCAGACATGCAGAGATGCGATTCGCCACCTGGTTATCAGAAGGGGGAAAGGAAAAGATTAGTTGTGTATCGTCAGCGTAGCAATGATAGGAGAGGCCATGTGAGGATATGACAGAGCCAAGTGACTTGGTGTATAGGGAGAATAGGAGAGGGCCTAGAACTGAGCCCTGGGGGACACCAGTGGTGAGAGCACGTGGTGCGGAGACAGCTTCTCGCCACGCCACTTGGTAGGAGCGACCGGTCAGGTAGGACGCGATCCAGGAGTGAGCCGCGCCAGAGATGCCCAGCTCGGAGAGGGTGGAGAGGAGGATCTGATGGTTCACAGTATCAAAGGCAGCAGACAGGTCTAGAAGGACAAGAGCAGAGGAGAGAGAGTTAGCTTTAGCAGTGCGGAGAGCCTCCGTGACACAGAGAAGAGCAGTCTCAGTTGAATGACCAGTCCTGAAACCTGACTGGTTTGGATCAAGAAGGTCATTCTGAGAGAGATAGCAAGAGAGTTGGCTAAAGACGGCACGCTCAATAGTTTTGGAAAGAAAAGAAAGAAGGGATACTGGTCTGTAGTTGACATCAGTGGGATCGAGTGTTGGTTTTTTGAGAAGGGGTGCAACTCTCGCTCTCTTGAAGACGGAAGGGACATAGCCAGCGGTCAATTGTTCTTTGTCTCTGACCTGTTTGGAGAGCTCCTTGGTCTTCATGGTGCCGCTTGCTTGGTGGTGCCCCTTGCTTAGTGGTGTTGCAGACTCTGGGGCCTTTCAGAACAGGTGTATATATACTGAGATCATGTGACAGATCATGTAACACTTAGATTGCACACAGGTGGACTTTAATTAACTAATTAGGTGACTTCTTAAGGTAATTGTTTGCACCAGATCTTATTTAGGGGCTTCATAGCAAAGGGGGTGAATACATATACACACACCACTTTTCCGTTAATTCTTTTTTAGAATTTTTTGAAACAAGTTATTTTTTTCATTCCACTTCACCAATTTGGACTATTTTGTGTATGTCCATTACATGAAATCCAAATAAAAATCCATTGAAATTACAGGTTTTAATGCAACAAAATAGGAAAAACGCCAAGGAGGATGAATACTTTTGCAAGGCACTGTATTGACTCAGGGGGTTGAATACGTGTCTAATCAAGATACTGTATATTTGTGTTTTATTTTTCATATTTGTTTTCAGAAATGTTAGGGGAAAAAAATCACTTTGACATTATAGAGTATTTTGTGTAGATCATTGACCAAAAAATGAAAATTAAATCAATTTTAATCCCACTTTGTAACACAACAAATAAATCAAGGGGTGTGAATACTTTCTGAAGGCACTGTATATCAGGCATATAATGAACTTAGATCCACAATCTGTTAGACTATTCAAGTGGGGGATGTTTGTTTTTTCTCAGTGTGTTACTTATAGTTGAATGTGTTTGTTATAGTTAAATAATATATCAATTCAATGTGTGTGTAGGCCTACACAATATCAATTGTGCCAGATGAGCATTATTGTTGCTCACCTGCATTGAGGCTACAAATAAGATATTTCCCTTTGATCAAGTATTCATTTAAAATTAAAATAAATAGGGCATTTGCATTGAAGTTTGATGATTAAATAGTATTTTCCACGTTGGAAAAGTTAAATTATGTTACTTCAGTCAACGTTTGAAATTGATATGTCTATGAACTACAGGAACTAAGGGAATTTTGAAGTTTAGCACACAACATCATATCTGGCCAATCACATTCCACGTCGCTACAGACGTCACGTCCTCTGACCTCAGTTTGCCAGTGGTATTTTTTCTTGGGGACACAGCGGCTTGCGGCGCCATATTGAAAGACACAAAGTATTTTCATAAACGCCTAAAATATCTAATTTTCCAAAATGCTGTATCTAGAGGATTACCTCGAGAGTGAGTATTAGGTTTATTTTACGCCTAGGTGGTAATATTTGTGTATTTACTGCCGTAAATGTGCATAATTTTATCCGGAGCGCGCCCGGACTGTTAGCCTAGCAATGCTAACTCCTATATTCGCTTTTTCTTCTCTCTGGCAGTGATCGAGCAGCTACCCATGGATCTCCGCGACAGGTTTACGGAAATGAGAGAGATGGACCTGCAAGTTCAGAGTATGCATTGCTACAGCGTGACAGTCTCTAAACACTTCACCGGCGAGCATTTTTCAAGTTGAAAAACACATACTTCTCAGTTTCGCACTTTGTAGGCTCATGGTGCAGAATAAAGAATCGAACTCTTAACACTAGTTAACGTTAGTTACCGGCCAAATAAACATTTGTTAAATGCAGTATTTGTATAACTAACACAGCTAGCTAACGTTAGCGAACTTGGCTAATATAACAATGCAACAACTTTCAGTAACCTGAGAAACAAGTTAGTGGGTTTGTATGATTCTAACTAGGGTTATAGAAATTACAAAAGAACATCATGTGTATGTTATGATATTTGTTTTCCATATAGATGTCCAACTAACGATTGCTAATCATGTGTGCATGCACATAAGTTGAACAATGAATGTAAACAAAGCAGGGTACATGGATTCGGAGAGTGCACATCACATGTAGTATTAATGTTATACATGTAGCTAGTTAGCTGTTTTATCATGTAACTTTAACTAGCTACATACACACGAACTGTTTACTAGCTAGAACATGCACCAATATTAATTTAGTACAGTGGTTCCCAACCAGGGGTACTAGGACCCCTGGGGGTACTTGGCCTTTCCACAGGGGGTACTTGAGAAGACTCATGAGACCATAGGTCTTCTGGTAAAATGCATTTACTTCAGAGGTACTCCGGGCAAAGCAAAATTCATTTGGTGGTACAGTAATCGAAAAAGGTTGGGAACCACAGATTTATTAGAAGTGGTTCGGTTCACTGGTAGTTTTAATCACAAGTAGGCCGGTCCACGGACACCGCATGTAATATTAGCCCTTCTGGTCAGCATTGAAGTACAAGTAAATATGAATTCATCCACATGCATGCAGAGTATAAACCCATATAATTAGTGTCTCAGACACACCTGTCCAGATTGCTCACTGCTCCCATTTGCTGTAGATGCCATGGACCAGTTGGAGCAGAGGGTGAATGAATTCTTTGTCAATGCAAAGAAGAACAAGCCAGAGTGGAGGGAAGAGCAGATGGGAGTCATCAAAAAGGTGCCAAATAAATCTAAGATTTATGTGTATTTCCCTTTTCAGAAATACAGTTTTGTTCTTTAAATCCCCTAAAAAAAATAAAAAAACGATAAGGCTGTACTACCGCACTTTTTGTGGTGAGTCTTTGTGCTTTGTCGTTGACATTTTAGTCATTTAGCAGATGCTCTTATCCAGAGTGACTTTAGTGCAGTCATCTTTAAGATAGTTAGGTGGGACAACCACATATCACAGTCATAGTAAGTACATTTTTCCTCAATAAAGTAGCTATCAGCAAAGTTGAAGCTAGTAAGAAGAAAATAAAAAGTGTGAATTAGTTCAGGAAAGGCATTCTTTCTTTTTTGAGATGGTGTCAGCCTCTGACTGCTTTTTCTCTCTGTTTCAGGACTATTATAAGGCATTGGAGGATGCAGATGAGAAAGTACAGCTGGCCAATCAGATTTATGATCTGGTGAGTTGGAATTTGAATGCCAAGACGGAGCTATGTCTAACGATGTCTGGTTTGTCTAATGGGTCATGGGAAAAATGTAAATGCTGTAGGTTGGTGTCAGCACAAAAAATATGGGAATCACTTCTATAAAAAGGTAGGGATAAGGGGAGTTAGAGGAGAACCGTTGTCGCTGGTGGCCTTTTTCAAGATGTCACCACTAAAATATAAAATGTTCTGCTCAGAACTGTGCGTTCTCTGATGTGCCACTAGGTGGCAATCAAACACTGCAAATTATTTGGAAGTCACTAAATTGTCAGTCTCTTCAGATGTTTCTAATATTTATTTTGATATTGACGTTTCTATCTTTTGATGTTGATGTATTTCATAGTGAATACTCAATGTGTAAAATCTTGGGGGGTTTGTTTAACACCTATATTGTCGGGAATGAACAGTATCGCATATTGAAGTTGTACCTGTATATTATGACGTTATTTACATTTTAGTAATTTAGCAGACGCTCTTATCCAGAGCGACTTACAGTTAGTGAGTGCATACATTTTCATACTGGCCCTCCGTGGGAAACGAACCCACAACCCAGGCGTTGCAAGCGCTATGTTCTACCAACTGAGCTACAGTTATGGTGTGTGTGTTCCAGGTGGACCGCCACCTGAGGAAGCTAGACCAGGAGCTGGCTAAGTTCAAGATGGAGCTAGAGGCTGACAACGCTGGCATCACCGAGATCCTGGAGAGACGTGAGTCACACCTGTCAATCACAACATGTCAGGAGACCCATCCCCTTCATCTTAACCCTCTTGGCCCTATCAGAATGTTGGGCTGACAGGATACTTTTTGCTAGTCTTGTTTCTGTTGCAATTCCGCGATAGTGGGATATTATCAATCTGCCCATCGGGATATTTCAGCCCTGCTAGGGTGGCGGTATTGACCTAAAAATGACCCTGTTGAGTCAAGTGTTGTTTCTTGTGTCTGTCAGTGTTGTCACTGAGAGCCAGCTCTGACATTGCCTCTCTCCTCTGTCAGGATCCCTAGAGATGGACAGCCCCTCTCAGCCCGTCAACAACCACCACGTCCACTCACACACCACCGTGGAGAGTAAGTACAGGTCTTGGCTGTTTGGCTGACTTTCTTTTGGAGTTGTTCCATGTCAGTAGAGAAATGTATATTGTTTAAGGAGCTTTGTTTGTATAGATGATTTGCTGCTTTCCTACAGTGAGGGGAAAAATTATTTGATCCCCTGCTGATTTTGTACGTTTGCCCACTGACAAAGAAATGATCAGTGTATAATTTTAATGGTAGGTTTATTTGAACAGTGAGAGACAGAATAACAACAAAAAAATCCAGAAAACCCCTCACAATGTTATAAATTGATTTGCATTTTAATGAGGGAAATAAGTATTTGACCCCCTCTCAATCAGAAATATTTCTGGCTCCCAGGTGTATTTTATACAGGTAACGAGCTGAGGTTAGGAGCACACAATTAAAGGGAGTGCTCCTAATCTCAGTATGTTACCTGTATAAAAGACACCTGTCCACAGAAGCAATCAATCAATCAGATTCCAAACTCTCCACCATGGCCAAGACCAAAGAGCTCTCCAAGGATGTCAGGGACAAGATTGTAGACCTACACAAGGCTGGAATGGGCTACAAGACCATTGCCAAGCAGCTTGGTGAGAAGGTGACAACAGTTGGTGCGATTATTCGCAAATGGAAGAAACACAAAATAACTGTCAATCTCCCTTGCTCCATGCAAGATCTCACCTCGTGGAGTTGCAATGATCATGAGAACGGTGAGGAATCAGCCCAGAACTACACGGGAGGATCTTGTCAATGATCTCAAGGCAGCTGGGACCATAGTCACCAAGAAAACAATTGGTAACACACTACGCCGTGAAGGACTGAAATCCTGCAGCACCCGCAAGGTCCCCCTGCTCAAGAAAGCACATATACATGCCCGTCTGAAGTTTGCCAATGAACATCTGAATGATTCAGAGGAGAACTGGGTGAAAGTGTTGTGGTCAGATGAGACCAAAATCGAGCTCTTTGGCATCAACTCAACTCGCCGTGTTTGGAGGAGGAGGAATGCTGCCTATGACCCCAAGAACACCATCCCCACCGTCAAACATGGAGGTGGAAACATTCTGCTAAGGGGGTGTTTTTCTGCTAAGGGGACAGGACAACTTCAGCGCATCAAAGGGATGATGGACGGGGCCATGTACTGTCAAATCTTGGGTGAGAACCTCCTTCCCTCAGCCAGGGCATTGAAAATGGGTCGTGGATGGGTATTCCAGCATGACAATGACCCAAAATACACGGCCAAGGCAACAAAGTAGTGGCTCAAGAAGAAGCACATTAAGGTCCTGGAGTGGCCTAGCCAGTCTCCAGACCTTAATCCCATAGAAAATCTGTGGAGGGAGCTGAAGGTTCGAGTTGCCAAACGTCAGCCTCGAAACCTTAATGACTTAGAGAAGATCTGCAATGAGGAGTGGGACAAAATCCCTCCTGAGATGTGTGCAAACCTGGTGGCCAACTACAAGAAACGTCTGACCTCTGTGATTGCCAACAAGTGTTTTGCCACCAAGTACTAAGTCATGTTTTGCAGAGGGGTCAAATACTTATTTCCCTCATTAAAATGCAAATCAATTTATAACATTTTTGACATGCTTTTTCTGGATTTTTGTTGTTGTTATTCTGTCTCTCACTGTTCAAATAAACCTACCATTAAAATTATAGACTGATCATTTGTTTGTCAGTGGGCAAACGTACAAAATCAGCAGGGGATCAAATACGTTTTTTCCCTCACTGTATGTGAGGTCATGAAGGTAGTAAATAATGTCATGTTTGTGTGTGACAGAGAGGAAGTATACCACGCAACCAAGCCACCACACTACAGAGCACGTCCCAGAGAAGAAGTTCAAATCAGAAGCCCTGCTTTCCACACTCACGTCAGATGCCTCCAAGGAGAACACACCGGGCTGTCGGACCAACAGCACAACGTCAGTCTCTAACAACGTGTACAGTGTGAACTCATCCCAGCCCCTGGCCTCCTACAACCTTAGCTCTCTGACTGCTTTGCCCGGGGCTGGGGCAGGGGCCATCACCATGGCTGCAGCGCAGGCTGTACAGGCCACCGCACAGGTATAAACACACACATTCTCTCTCCCTCTTTCTCACACTCTATCTGTCTCACAAACTCTCTCACACACCCCCAACTCCATGGCCTTCTGATTTATTCATATGAGTGCTGCACTGATGCGGATCTGTATCAGTGTCTTGAACCAGTCTGTCTGTTCTGAGAATTATCTTATCTGATCGGGACAAATGTCCTTGAATGTGTAACTGATGTTTGTCCATGTTTGACTGTAACTAACCCTGTTCATGGCTATGTGTGTCTCTCTCTCTCTGCCTTTCCCTCTCTGTGCCCTCCTTCTCTCTCCCCCTCCCCTCCCCCTCGATGTCAGATGAAGGAGGGCAGGAGGACTAGCAGTCTGAAGGCCAGCTACGAGGCCATCAAGAACAATGACTTCCAGCTGGGGAGGGAGTTCTCCCTGACCTCCCGGGATGCCACAGGGGCCTACTCCACCTCTGCCCTGGCCAACACCCTCACCCAGACCCTCACCCCCGCCGGCTCAGCCGTCGCCTCCGACTCCCGCGGCGGACGCAAGACCAAGTACGACACAGCTTACATGCACACACACACACAGCCTCCCGTACGCTCAGACAAGCATGACAAGCCCTAGCTAGTGGTCTTCTCCAGTGATATCACATCATTTCATGTCTTACTGAACCGTATCAATCCACCCTGCATCACCCCACATCAGAAGAACAGACGTCAGGCCAAATCACGCTACATCATTTCAGTGTCCAGTCCCATGATGTCACGCCACATTATGCCAGCCATGCTTTTCAACTCTGCCCCCACAGCATGAATAAATGAAGATGTGAAGATGAAAAATTGAGAGCTTGTCTAAACTGCTCAGTCTTCTCTCCCCTGCCCCTCCACAGAGGCAACACCAAGTCTTCCAACCACCAGTCGTCATCCTCCTCGTCGTCTTCGTCCCTGTCGTCGTGCTCCTCTTCCTCAGCCCTGGCTCAGGAGCTGTCCCAGCAGGCCTCGGCCCTCCCAGAGTCTGAGACCAACAACCAGGTGGACTGGACCTACGACCCCAACGAACCCCGCTACTGCATCTGCAACCAGGTACACACATCCAGAGACCCACTCTCTCTCACACTCTGGACAGCACACACCTACTGCTGACAGGTTAAACTAAAATGGTTTCTCTTTTGTTAAAGGTGTCTTATGGAGAAATGGTGGGCTGTGATAACCAAGACGTAAGTACCCATTTCCATTTGGGAGTGCTTTTCTCATATTCTACAACTGTTACCTCATTACTTTCACATAGGACTTTGTCAAATGAGAGATGATGCATGAGAGCTAACCTGAGTGCCCCGTGTGTGTTTGTGCAGTGCCCCATCGAGTGGTTCCACTACGGCTGCGTGGGCCTAACAGAAGCCCCCAAGGGGAAGTGGTACTGCCCTCAGTGTACTGCCGCCATGAAGAGGAGAGGCAGCAGGCACAAATAGACACCCCACCTCTACTACCCCTCTCCTCATCCAGGACCACCCCCATCCCATTCCACATCCCTACCCCGCAAAACCAACTGTCAATGCTATATCAACTGTAGTTCCTCCCAAACAAGTGTGTGTACCTGTTGTGGCCACACACACAGTATTCTTATCCACCTGTCTGTCTGTGTGACCTTTCAGGGGTCAAAACAGTGGGGTCAAAGGTTGTTATTGCAGAGTCAATCCTGTGTGAGTATTTGGATGAGACACCTGACTGGAAAATCAAAACAAGGAGCCAAGACTCCATGAATCCTCACCCCCTGGTTGGGTGTCCATTGCCCCCCCTCCTCCCTCCTGAATTTTGAGCCTTGGCGCACCCCTTCTCTCCCACATTCATCAGACATTCCTCGCCTTTCCCCTTGTGACAGGAAGGGCCATACACCCCTCCTGCTTCCACACCGGCTGCAACAAGAAGTGCTCATTACAGTAAAATGCCCACAGGGGAAATGACACAGACTGGGAAATGTAGTCCAGGGGTGTTTATTGGACTACAAAACCCAACCCCCTCTACAAGTTTTGATTTTAATTCTTAAAACGAATTGATGAAACGCAACTATGACTTTGAAAAGATGAGGATGTTGATTGGGACGGTGGTCATTTCAGGTAACGTATGGTTGAATATGACTGACCCTCCACGATTGAGTCCTGTAAAGCTGAAGAGGTCAGAATGTACAGTGTAAGAACAGTCATAACTGAAGCGTGTCTGTGAGTGTAAGTGTTTCTGTATGTGCGTGTGTATGTCACTAGTCATTCTGTACTGAGATGGTGTGTAAAAGTTTCCAGAGATGTAAAAAAAATACAATAAAATGGATCAAGTTCTTTTGGTATTTCATGTTTCCTGACTTCGTCTGTCAAGGATGGCCTCTCTTCTTGATCAAACTATAGCACTTCATAGCTCTAGGTATATATTGTATTCGACTACACAATCAAAATGTAGAGTGCTGATGAATCACCAATGTTTTGATTCACAGCAGGCTTACAATGTGGACTGATTGTTGAAACAGGTCACCATTAAAACACAACACAATGTTAATGATATACACTGCTCAAAAAAATAAAGGGAACACTTAAGCAACACAATGTAACTCCAAGTCAATCACACTTCTGTGAAATCAAACTGTCCACTTAGGAAGCAACACTGATTGACAATACATTTCACATGCTGTTGTGCAAATGGAATAGACAACAGGTGGAAATTATAGGCAATTAGCAAGACACCCCCAATAAAGAAGTGGTTCTGCAGGTGGTGACCACAGACCACTTCTCAGTTCCTATGCTTCCTGGCTGATGTTTTGGTCACTTTTGAATGCTGGCGGTGCTTTCACTCTAGTGGTAGCATGAGACGGAGTCTACAACCCACACAAGTGGCTCAGGTAGTGCAGCTCATCCAGGATGGCACATCAATGCGAGCTGTGGCAAGAAGGTTTGCTGTGTCTGTCAGCGTAGTGTCCAGAGCATGGAGGCGCTACCAGGAGACAGGCCAGTACATCAGGAGACGTGGAGGAGGCCGTAGGAGGGCAACAACCCAGCAGCAGGACCGCTACCTCCGCCTTTGTGCAAGGAGGAGCAGGAGGAGCACTGCCAGAGCCCTGCAAAATGACCTCCAGCAGGCCACAAATGTGCATGTGTCTGCTCAAACGGTCAGAAACAGACTCCATGAGGGTGGTATGAGGGCCCGACGTCCACAGGTGGGGGTTGTGCTTACAGCCCAACACCGTGCAGGACGTTTGGCATTTGGCAGAGAACACCAAGATTGGCAAATTCGCCACTGGCGCCCTGTGCTCTTCACAGATGAAAGCAGGTTCACACTGAGCACATGTGACAGAGTCTGGAGACGGCGTGGAGAACGTTCTGCTGCCTGCAACATCCTCCAGCATGACCGGTTTGGCGGTGGGTCAGTCATGGTGTGGGGTGGCATTTCTTTGGGGGGCCGCACAGCCCTCCATGTGCTCGCCAGAGGTAGCCTGACTGCCATTAGGTACCGAGATGAGATCCTCAGACCCCTTGTGAGACCATATGCTGGTGCAGTTGGCCCTGGGTTCCTCCTAATGCAAGACAATGCTAGACCTCATGTGGCTGGAGTGTGTCAGCAGTTCCTGCAAGAGGAAGGCATTGATGCTATGGACTGGCCCGCCCGTTCCCCAGACCTGAATCCAATTGAGCACATCTGGGACATCATGTCTCGCTCCATCCACCAATGCCACGTTGCACCACAGACTGTCCAGGAGTTGGCGGATGCTTTAGTCCAGGTCTGGGAGGAGATCCCTCAGGAGACCATCCGCCACCTCATCAGGAGCATGCCCAGGCGTTGTAGGGAGGTCATACAGGCACGTGGAGGCCACACACACTACTGAGCCTCATTTTGACTTGTTCTAAGGACATTACATCAAAGTTGGATCAGCCTGTAGTGTGGCTTTCCACTTTAATTTTGAGGTTGACTCCAAATCCAGACCTCCATGGGTTGATATTTGATTTCCATTGATAATTTTTGTCTGATTTTGTTGTCAGCACATTCAACTATGTAAAGAAAAAAGTATTTAACAAGATTATTTCATTCATTCAGATCTAGGATGTGTTGTTTAAGTGTTCCCTTTATTTTTTTGAGCAGTGTATTTGAGCTCTCAACCAATGCAGTACTAACAGGGCTATTCAATCATGTCCATCAAGTCTGATGTACTGCTGTTTTTCTTAATTGATTAATGAATGCCACTGTTTTGCCATGAGTCAGCTCACCAGGTCTAAATCATTCCCTGATTAGAGGAGGGTAATGAAAACCAGCGGTGTTATAGCCCTCACACACAGGGGGATTTGGGTAGCCAGTAACTCATTCTACTGATGGCAAACACTTTTTTTGTTCTGTACAAAACTGCCATAATACCTATATTTTTAGAAGGAACCTAGGGTTTCTTGGAGAAATTACAACCTCACCAAAAAAGAAGAATGTTTTTGGCCCTTGATCCAAAATGGCACCTTTTCAATAGCTGCTCTCTCACCACATCTGACTGAAACAAAGCAGGGCTCCAACTCCATTCTCTAAATAATGAGCCAAGGGAGGACTGGTGTGTGCCACAAATAGCAAAGAGTGAGCCCTGTGTTTTACCACAACTTGGAATGAGGGGTAGCATACCTCGACCCCCGACCGAGGAGGCATGTGTGCGCATTTAGATCGCTCCGTGTACCTCGTGGAATTTCAAAACAGTTACTTTACGAGAACGCTCCTAAACTATACAGTTGAAAAGGATCTATGGTATAAACTCCACTTATTTTTTACTTTATACGAGGGAGTTTTAATTTTGGGAACCAGTAGCCCTGTGTGTGAGACTGTAATCCAGCCGTCCGCACCGAAAGGAAGTTAGGCGACTGTTGACTTTTTTTCTCAGAGTAGCCTAACCCAAACCAGGTGAAGTCGCCCCCCTGCGCGCAGCCAGCGCTCGGATATAGTGGAAACCCTCTTTGTAGCCTAGTTCAGGGAGTGAAGTCTTGGCGAAGTTCTTCATTTTTCTAACTTCAGTTTGGCTCTGTGTCTCAAGGGATGTTTTCATGCGTCCTGCCTTTGGTTGTGGATGGGAATGGCAGTTTTCTGACAGCGCGCAGTAGCATCGTCTGATCTAGTCACTGTCATGAGGTTCCGCTATTCGATATTGTTTTTAATCATCTGAGGGGCACTCTTCCCCAAATAAAGAGAGAGGGAAAACTTTTCCCTGCTCCCTCGGAGCTCCATAGTGTTCGAGGATGTGAAAGTTGGACTGTGGCTCACTTTGATCTAACTTCATTATCACGAATAACGGAATAACAACGTTTGGGAAAGGGTTTTGTTTGTTTGTGCCAGCTCACAAATCAACACAAGTTTGCCATAGCGACGGCTCTTGAACACCGTGTACCCCCCTCTGAAATACCAACCAGGACATCTTTGAAAGATAAATTGCGGCAACAATGTTTCAGGTCGGGGTGTATTCCTGAAGTGCGTGTTTCTGCAGATAGCTCAGCTGCTCTGTGTTCCTTCTAACCGCCGGGAGAGCGGCCAGAGTTGTGTGAGGTCTGAGTGGGACGCGGAGAAGAAGTAGGCTAAACATCTTCCCTCATGGTATTCCTTTATTCTTCTGCCAGCAAAGTTGGGAGTGAAGCGGGAATGTTCCTTCGGCGGCTCTGGACGCTCCGACGCAGGTATTGCTCCGGACCGTTATTGCTCCTAGGGGTCGCGGTGTGTCTTTTCTACCAGACCCTGATGGTGGCACGGAGTCGGTTCAAAGGCGGCCCACCTGCGGCTGATGAACGCAACAAGTCAACGATGACTGGAGCGTTGGGGGTATTTGATGAACTTCTGCAGGACCCTGCGAGGCTTATTTCTACCCTGGAGGCTTTGGAGAGGGAAATATATGTAAGTGGGCTAATGATAGAAGTGCACTTAAATGCTGTCTATTGTCTCATTTCTGTCCTGTGCTTTAGGTAGCCTACATGCACTTTTGGTTAACTTTGAATAATGGAGATTCAAGGATAAGCTTTGCTCCATCCCACAATGGGAAAAGCTTTTATCCAAGTCCATCTCACAATGACTATAAGCCAATTTCATCATCAACACATATGTGTATAGGCTTTCTTTATACAGTGCTGTGTTAGTTGCATGGCTCTCTATGCAGCCTGTGTTTTGTCTTTGGGCTCAAAACACTGTCTGAGTTTCATTAACTTTAATGAGCAACAACTACCTGAGTTAGCTTCAAGCCTCACAACAACATTCGTAGATGTTGACTCCTTGGCATAGCCTATATAACTAACTGGTTGAAACTATTTTAATTTTGTTCCCAACTGTTTAAAAATAGCGAACCGTTTTTTTTTCTTTCTATGGCTGTTAGTGTTGCGGTATTTAGATGAGCGAGCTAGGCGCTCGAGGCTCAATGCTTATTGGTCAGCTGGACATGTGCTCGAGAGGTACCCGGGTATGGATTCAGTTAAATCGGGCTCTTCTCTCCACACAGATGATTGACACCTGTATGGACCTTTTCAAAACAAGGTTGCATATCAATTTCCCGGGTATTTTAATTAATTTAATCTCTGGTTACCATCTATCTCTAAAAACTGATTCTAGATCAGCTCTACTTACCCACTTCTAACCTTTATCATTATGGGTTAAATTTGGAATGTGTTCCTGGAACAGTTGTTTTATTAGGCCATACTTTTCCTTCTCTCAGAGGTTGTCTTGGCCCCATGGAGAGGAAGGGAGAGAATAAATAAACAAGGAGGGGGGAGGGGGGGGGGAGAAGGCGGGATAGTGTTGCGAGAGATCTAGAGGGAGACAGAGCGGGAGAGGCAGTCTGTTGGCCTTGTTGACTATGTGGTTGACAGGGAGAAAGCGAGCTGTCACAGCTCATTTATTATCCACCACCAACACGCTGCCTCAGTTTAGCTGTTGAGTGCAACTCTGAGTTTTAGAAACCCAACCCTAAAAGTTCTGAATGTTGGACTTATTGTGAAACAGAAGGTTGAAGTCTGAGCCATTACATTGCTCTTATTTCTCTCCTCTCATGATCCTTGGAGTCTGTCATAGTTGACATTGAGTGTGATTGGGTGGGTTTGCTTGTTGGCATGTCTAGAGCCATCGTTACAAAAGCCCTGCCACTGTAGTATTTGTGCCTGTTACCCTCTGTGGCATGTAATAATGACTAGCTTCACACTGTGTGTATGGGTGTTCAGTATTTGTATCTGTCTGGGGCGGGATGGTGATTGGAATTGCTGGAGAGTTGTTAGGGATGGGGCATTTTGGCAAGGGTGTGTGTGTGTGTGTGTTATAGGTTTGCAATGCGTGTGTGAGAGTGTGTGTCCATGTGCGTGTGTATGCAGTTAGCACCTGTGGATGGCTTTCCCGGGGTGAGTGCTCCAGCAGTAGGTCAGTAGGAAGTATTAGATCAGAGTTACGTAATGTGATCCTCCAGCTCTTTATCCCCTTTGAGTCTCTTCCAGACCCTGACAGCCCCATTCAGTCCCAGGGCAGGAGGCAGGAGGCTGGACCAGGGATCAGAAAGCCATGGAACACAGTCTCTCTCACACACATGCACACATGTACATGCTGTGATTCCATAGAACAGGTACTCCATCAGAGCGGCGTCCAAACTCGCTGCATGTGTGTGGAGCGTGTTTGGTGGTCTTCAGAGTGGAACCCCTGCCAGAAAGATCTGGAAGCTTGTTTGCTGCTTTGACACTAATTGGCTGAACGTGTGTATGGGAGGCAGTTCCAGCATTTGACCACTAGCACTAACTATACTTTCTAAGCTCTGAGAAGGTCTCAGATTGGGTCAGGGAGTCAGTTAGGGCGCTGGGATGGTAGGGTCAGGGAGTCCGTAAGGGCGCTGGGATAGTAGGGTCAGGGAGTCAGTTAGGGTCCTGGGATGGATGTCTGCCCATGTGTGTACTCCAGTGGCAGTCAGTGCCGTTTAAGATAAGGGAGTACAATTTTGTATTTTCATGAGCATGGCCTTATTTCTATTACAGCATATTGGATGACTGTCATTCATATTCCATTCACCCAGTTCAATGTAACAGCAATAGGTTTAGGCTACTACATGATACTAACATTTTCCCTATACCCCTCATGAGGTTGCTACAACCTAGCCTATGAATGAACGTTTACAAAGTAGGTGCACACAGGTCAAGAGAACATTTTGAGGTGACACATGGCCAGACAGTGACACATTCAATACTGCCTTGCACACTCTTGCCTGCATCTAGCTGATATAGGATGTAATCATTAGTCCAACAGTTGCAAACGAGAGTTTCTATTGGACAAATTCAGGTATGTTTATCCCCGTTTTGTTTCATTTGCTTCCGTTTAAGAAACATTTTTCAACAGAATCGGCGGAATGAATACACCCCTGATCATGCATAAACACAGTTCACGTTCATAGCAGCCACGTTGTATTCCTTACTCGACTCTATGCACTCTCCTCCTCTCACCTTGTTCCTTTGCTTGTGGACTTCAATGCACAACACATCAGCTGTATGTGACTAGGTGAAAAAACCTTTCCAAGCCAAACCATATCATAAAATAGCCACGTTAACATAAACTATGTAGCTTAAGAAACAAGGTTCATGAAATCAATAATTTGCTAGTACAAATGACATTTGTATTCTGACAATCTTTGAAACTCACTTAGATAATACCTTTGATGATACAGTGATAGCAATACATGGTTATAACATCTACAGAAAATACTGAAATACCAAAGGTGGAGGTGTTGCAGTTTTATATTCAGAACTACATTCCTGTAAAGCTTAGAGAGGATCTCATGTTAAATACTGTTGAAGTAATATGGCTTCAGATTAATCTGCCTCAGCTAAAGCCCATTCTGGTGGGAAGTTGCTATAGACCACAAAGTGCTAACAGTCATTATCTGGATAACGTGTGAAATGCTTGATAATGTATGTGATATCAACAGAGAGGTATATTTACTGGGTGATTAAAATATTGACTGGCTTTCATCAGGCTGCCCACTCAAGAGAAAGCTTCAAACCGTAACTATTGCCTGCAAACTGGTTCAGGTTATCAGTCAACCTACCAGGGTAGTTACAAACAGCACATTAATGAAATCATCAACATGTATTGATCACATCTTTACTAATGCTATGAAATAAAGATAAATTACATAAAGAATGATAGTAAAAACTTTGGAGCACCTTAAATGACATTTTGGGGCAAAAAGGCAAACTCAGCACCATCATTCATTGAACCAGATGGCTCATTCATCACAAAACCCACTGATATTGCCAACTACTTTAATAATTTTTTCATTGACAAGATTAGCAAACTGTCAGTGTTTGAAGTGGATGTGGTGTTGGAGTCAGGCGCAGGACACAGAAGCTTAGTCCAACAGACTTTACTAGTCAGAAATATGACAATACAAAAAGAACGGGCCTCAAGCAACGGAGGCGAGCGATACGCAAACAGTGCGTAAAACACGAAATATAAGCGATGCACAAACAGTGCGTCAATACACTTAAATACACCAGAGCAAAATCCAAAACCCCAACGGACAGGCGGACAACAACACACAACTACAAACAAAACCAAAGGAAACTTATAGGTGACATAATCAATAAGTGATAAGACACAGGTGCACCAAACAGACAAAACCAAACAAACATAGAGAACATCAAACGGTAGCAGCTAGTACTCCGGGGACGACGAACGCCGAAGCCTGCCCGAACAAGGAGGAGGAGCAGTCTCGGCGTAATTCATGACAGTACCCCCCCCTTGACGCGCGGCTCCCGGCCTCGGGGACGGCCAGGAGGACGTGGAGCAGGGCGCGTAGGATGACTACGATGGAACTCAGTCATGAGGGATGGATCTAAAATGTCCCTCCGAGGCACCCAGCACCGTTCCTCCGGACCGTACCCCTCCCACTCCACGAGATATTGTAGACCCCCCATCCGACGTCTCGAATCCACGATGGAACGGACTGAGTACGCCGGAGCCCCCTCGATGTCCAGTGGGGGCGGAGGGGTCTCCCTTATCTCACTCTCCTGGAGTGGACCAGCTACCACCGGCCTGAGGAGAGACACATGGAATGAGGGGTTAATGTGATAGTCATTGATTGGGCAGTTGCAACCTGTAACACACCTCATTCAATCTCCTCAGGACTTTAAATGGCCCCACAAACCGCCGGCCAAGCTTCCGGCAGGGCAGGCGAAGGGGCAGGTTTCGAGTTGAGAGCCAGACTCGATCTCCAGGGGCGTAGACTGGACCCTCACTGCGGTGGAGGTCGGCGCTCGCCTTCTGCCTGCGGATGGCCCGCTGCAGATGGACGTGGGCAGCATTCCACGTCTCCTCCGAGCGCCGAAACCACTCATCCACCGCAGGAGCCTCGATCTGGCTCTGATGCCATGGTGCCAGAACCGGCTGATAACCTAACACACACTGAAAAGGGGTCAGGTTAGTAGAGGAGTGGCGGAGAGAGTTCTGAGCCATCTCTGCCCAGGGGATATACCCCGACCACTCCTCCGGCCGGCCCTGGCAATAGGATCTCAGAAACCTACCCACATCCTGGTTTACTCTCTCCACCTGCCCATTACTCTCCAGGTGGTAACCCGAGGTAAGGCTAACCGAGACCCCCAAGCGTTCCATGAACGCCCTCCAGACTCTAGAGGTGAACTGGGGACCCCGATCAGACACTATATCCTCGGGAACCCCGTAGTGCCGGAAGACGTGGGTGAACAAAGCCTCAGCGGTCTGTAGGGCAGTAGGGAGACCCGGCATAGGAATGAGACGACAGGCCTTAAAGAACCGATCCACAACGACCAGAATAGTGGTATTCCCCTGGGAGGGGGGAAGGTCTGTGACAAAGTCCACCGAGAGGTGAGACCACGGCCGTTGTGGAACGGGCAGGGGTTGTAACTTCCCCCTGGGCAGGTGTCTAGGCACCTTACACTGAGCACACACCGAGTAGGAGGAGACATAAACCCTCACGTCCTTAGCCAATGTTGGCCACCAGTATTTAACACTAAGGCAGTGCACTGTCCGGCCAATACCTGGATGTCCAGAGGAGGGTGACGTATGAGCCCCAAAAATGAGCCGATCACGGACCTCGTGCGGCACGTACGTCCGACCCACTGGACACTCTGGGGGAGTAGGGTCAGTGCGTAACGCCCGCTCAATTTCCGCATCGACCTCCCATACCACCGGTGCCACCAGACAAGACTCCGGCAGTATGGGAGTGGGCTCAATGGACCTCTCCTCTGTGTCATACCGCCGGGACAGGGTGTCTGCCTTACCGTTCTGGGACCCTGGGATGTACGTGATCTTAAAAACGAACCGGGTCAGGAACATGTTCCACCTAGCCTGACGAGGGTTTAATCTCCTAGCTGCCCGGATGTACTCCAGGTTACAATGGTCGGTCAGAATGAGAAAAGGGTGTTGAGCCCCCTCAAGCCAATGCCTCCACACCTTTAGGGCTTGAACCACGGCTAACAGCTCCCTGTCCCCTACGTCATAATTACGCTCCGCCGGGCTGAGCTTCTTAGAATAAAAAGCGCAGGGACGGAGCTTAGGTGGCGTGCCTGAGCGTTGCGACAGTACTGCCCCAATACCGGCCTCTGACGCGTCCACCTCTACCTGGAACGCTAAAGCGGGGTCCGGGTGCGCCAGCACCGGAGCCGAGGTGAACAGGTCCTTCAGTTTACAAAACGCCCTGTCCGCCTCAGCTGACCACTGCAAACGCACCGGGCCCCCCTTCAGCAGGGAAGTAATGGGAGCTGCTACCTGTCCAAAACCCAGGATAAACCTCCGGTAGTAATTGGCAAAACCCAAAAACTGCTGCACCTCTTTCACAGTGGTTGGGGTTTGCCAGTTACGCACGGCTGACACACGGTCAATCTCCATCTTCACCCCTGACGCGGACAACCGATGACCCAAGAAGGAGATGGACTCCTGGAAAAAGAGACATTTCTCTGCCTTGACATACGTCATGCTCCAACAGTCTACCCAACACTCGGCGTACCAGGGCTACATGCTCGGCACGTGTAGCAGAGTACACTAAGATGTCGTCAATGTACACTACCACTCCCTGCCCATGCAGGTCCCGGAAGATCTCGTCCACAAATGATTGGAAGACTGAAGGAGCATTCATTAACCCGTATGGCATGACAAGATACTCATAATGACCTGAGGTGGTACTAAATGCTGTCTTCCATTCATCCCCCTCCCTAATGCGCACCAAGTTATAAGCGCTCCTGAGATCCAGTTTTGTGAAGAACCGCGCCCCGCGTAATGATTCAGTCATACTCGCAATCAGAGGAAGAGGGTAACTGTATTTCACAGTGATCTGATTGAGACTATGATAATCAATACACGGGCGCAAACCTCCATCTTTCTTCTTCACGAAAAAGAAACTCGAGGACGCAGGGGAAGTGGAGGGCCGTATGTATCCCTGTTTCAGGGACTCAGCTATGTATGTCTCCATAGCCGCCTTTTCCTCTTGAGACAGAGGATACACATGGCTCCGCGGAAGTGCCGCACCTGTCTGGAGGTTTATCGCACAATCTCCCTGCCTATGAGGTGGCAATCGTGTCGCCCTCGTCTTG